TCATTTTGTTTTCTGCTCCATTAATTGTGGCCTCTCTGCCGCTACTTCTGGATTCTTCGTATTTTTCTTTTTTAGAATATCTTGCAGTATTCTCTGTAGAGTTGAATTGGTGGTTGCATATTCCCCTAGTTCCTCTTTATCCTGGAAGCACCTTGTTTTTCCATCAATTTCCAGGGATAGTTGTGCAGGATATATCAATCTTGGCTGCAGATTATTATCTTTCAAAGCTTGAATTATTTCCCCCCATGCTCTTCGTGATTTGATGGTTTGTGCCGAGAAGTCTGCTGTAATTCTGATAGTTGTTCCCTTGTAAGTGATCTGTTTCTTGTCTCTGACGGCTTTTAGTATTCTGTTCTTGTATTGGATTTCTGGAATTTTAATTATTATATGCCTGGGTGTAGCTCTGTTTGGGTTGTAGGTGGCTGGGGTCCTCTATGCTTCATACAACTGAGTATCTTTACCTTTTGCTAAACTAGGAAAATTCTCCTGGATTATTTCTGTGAGTAGCTTTTGTAGTTCATTTGTTTGTGTCCCTACTTCTTCTTTTATGTTCTTAATTCTTAAGTTATAGACCCTCTTATCATCTTCTAGTCTTTGTAGTATTGCTGTTTGTTTCTTTGTTATTTTTAAGAAGTTTTTCATTTCATGCTCCCATATTACAAATCTGCCCTCCAGTTCAGATAATCTGTCCTTAGTTTCTTTCAAGCTGTTATGCCAGTTTTTGATAGACTTTTTAGTTTCCTGGTAATCTCTTTGAACCTGCTTCACGTATTCTATGCTTTCTCTATTTTCTCCATTAAACAATTCTCCCCTCTTTTTCTGTTCTTCCATTCCACCATCTGTTTTTTCTTGGGTGGTGCTTAGCATTTCTCTAACTATTCTGCTTATGTCTAGCTTCAGGTCATTAATAACTTCATTCCTGAACTTGTCTATGATGCTCTCGAGATAGTGCTTTATGTCTATTGGTGCTGTGTCTGCTGTTGCCTCTTTCTCAGGATTAGGGGCCAAGGACCCTTTCTTGTTGCTGCCTCTTCCCATATTCTTTGTTCCTTATATATGCAAGTGTATATAGGAGGCCCAACTTCCTTCCCTGTCAGCCACAGTCTGATTGAATTGCGCTGGCTAGGTGTTCCCGCCCACCACAGCGCACCAGGGAGTTACAGACCAGACAGCCTATGCGGGGCCCACCCCTCCAGGTCACCTTCAGGAGCTGGGACCTGGGCTGTGCTAGCCTACTGGGTCTCAGCCAGCAGTGTCACGTGGGCTAGGCACTGCTCACCAATCCCGCTTGAGAGGCAGATTGGTGACTGAAGTCATTGCAGTGCCCTGTTCCCGCAAGTCTGCCCGGTCCCAGAATGTCCTCTGTTGGAGTCTCCTAGACTGTGGGGAAGAGACCCAGTTTTCCCTCACTCACCGGAGGTGGATGCATGGCTCCCCGCCGGTCCTGCTCTCAACTCTGTTCACCAATTCCCGTTCTCAGAGCTTCCATGCGTCTCTCTCCCTGCTGAGCTGATGCAGACGCAGCCGCGGCGGCGGGAAACCCAAATAGCAGCTTCCAATGGCGCGGGCTCCAGCTTCCATGCTGAGGCTTTATCTGTTCCTGTTATAGCACCAGGATTGCATTCCCAGTTGGTTTCTCTCAGCCCAGTTCATTCTTGGATCACCGGGGCATATCTCCTCTTGCTTATGATTCCTTACTCAGCACCATTCCTGAATTCTAAGCTGGGTGTTTCAGAGAGCCTCCGTAGCTGCTGTTATCTGTCCGCCATGTTCTCCCAGAAGCCATTTTGTTTTATTTTGGCAATCAAGGTTCATTTATATTTTCCCACATACATACCTCTTTCTGCTGGTTTTCCCTTCCTGCTACGCAGAATGTATTACTATTTGGGATCCTTTTTCTTTTGTCTTAATCATTCCCTTTAGCAGCAGTTTGAGTGTGAGCCTAATGGTGTTGAATTCTTTCAATTATTTTTTTGTTTGCTTGAGGTATTTTTTTTTTTTATTTTAAAAAATCTCGTTATTGGTTTGATAGACACTTGCTAATATTTTTTTTCTTTTTTTCAATATCTTTCTATTGTTTTATGAGGCCCAGCATCTCTATATTGACAATTCAACTATAAGTCTCATTATCATGCCCTTGAAAGTATTATCTATTTTTGTGTTTTTTAAATTGACTTTCACTTTGTCTCTGGTTTTTAGTACTTTCAATATGATGTGCCTTAAAAGATTTCTTTTGTATCGATCTTTGCTGTATTTCCAATACCTGTGACTTGATGTTTCTTAAGAGTTTTGGAAAATTCCTTTTGATCATTGATTTTTTCATTATTTAATTCTTCTTTTTCTTGGACCAACTGTAGATGTGTTGCATCTTTTATTATGTCATATATTTCTTCTTTTTCTCTACATGTTTCAGGCTACATATTCTTCTGGTATATCTTCTAGGTTAAAAATTCTTTTGAGCTGTGACAGATCAATTGTTAAACTTATATACCAAGATTCTTATTTCAGCTGCTGACATTTTAAATTCTGAAGAGTTTACAAGTGATGTTTTTCTGGAATTTAAAAGTGATTTTTTTCCAGTTCTATCCTGAAATTCTCCCTCATCATTTAAAGTTACAAACCTCTTAAATTATACCTATTTTAAAGCATATATCTGATAACTCCAAAATCTGAATTTTCTGTAGATCATTTTCTGTTTGTTTCTATGGCATATTTACTAGGAATCATCCTTCTTAATAAGCCATGAGCTCCAACTTTTATTTCCCTAACCTAATGAGACAATTTAGATCCCAAGTCATCCTTTTAGTCTTTAAGCTATTGCTTACAATTCTACAAAACAACCTCACAAAGAAAACAATCAAATGTTATTTTGAGGATTTACTTATCTTTCTTCAAATCTTTGTTGCCTTCATAAACACTTGAACTCCTGTGAACAGATTTTTCTTTTGTCCCTCTCTTCTAGTTACTCTTGCACTACTGGTCAGTCTGATTTAACCTTGTTTATCGTATAGTTGGAAGCAACATTTTAGGTCTCAGGATTCTTGAGTATAATGCAGTGTACATATAAGAATTTTTAAGTCACACATTGATAGTATGAAGATTCTGATCCTATTCAGCAATTATGTGGCCAGGGAAAACATATTTAGCTTTTCTGAATTTGTGTTTTGCACATATAAATACTGGAAGTAATAATCTTTACTTCACAGATGCTATCACTTGTATCTAGATATCTCTTTAAAAATTCATGCACCTATAGGTGGGGCTTTTCAGAGCTGAACGGATTTAGGGTGTGCATTAGTAATTTAGTCCACTGACTGGTTTAGCATAGTAATGGGTGTGGATGATAAGGTCTATTCTGGGTGTGAGTGGCACCACTAAAAGGCTTGTAACCTGCATAGGATGAAGGAGGAAGGAGGCTTGTTTTATTGCTTTCTGCTTGCAGGTTTCTTGCCTACCCTGCTGTGGACTGTTTTTCCTCTGCCATGCTTCCTTGGCGTGCTCCCCTTCTTTGGAGTCAGCTGACTTTGGACTGAAACCTCTACAAACTGTGAGCTGAAATAAACGTTTTCTCCTTTAATGAATGTGTTGGGTATTTTGTCTCAGCAGTGAGAAAAGTAAGACAACTGGGCTATTTGTTTGAAGGTTAAATGAGGATTAAACAAAAAATATACAAGAGATTTAGCTTAATGTCTAAAACATTACAAACTTTTATAGGTGGATTTTTTTTCCTTCCTTCATTTCTATGATTGGATGACTATCATCCAGAAGTTCAAAGTTTGGTCCCCAGGACGGCACTATCAGGAGATGTATGGAACTTTCGAGTTTGGACCTAATGGATGGTCCTTGGACCAAAGGGGATTATGGAACTCCAATTTCTTCCTGTCTCTCTTTGCTTCTTGGTTCATGAGGTGAGAAATTTGCTCCCACTGTGATGTGCTCCCTGGTCAAAAGCCCGAAGCAATGTTGTGATCCACCCTTCCCTAGTCTTGGACAGGAAACTCCAGAACTGTGAGCCAAAGTTATACTTTTCTCTTTATGAGTATCTTGTTATAATGATGGAAAGCTGACAAATAGTTTTTAAGACAACAGTTAATATTTCATAATTCATGGCTGTGTAAAATAATGCAATGTGATGACTTATGTAAAACTCAGATTGTAACACACTAGAGAAATAACAGAAATAATATTTCTGAAGCGTAATTATTAGTTTGATGTGTTAGGCATTGCACTCAATATTTACATGTCTTTACATGTCACTCTTATTTATAATAACCAAATTAAGTTGGAACTTTAATTATGCTCATTGTATTAATGAGACTAGGAGATATTACAGTATTTTTTTTCAAGATTAGCATTTTTTCAAGATCAGTATTTTTTTTTCAAGATCATTTTGTTTTTTTGGTTTTTTTTTGTTTTGGTCTTTTTTGAGACGACATCTCACTATGCAGTTCAGACTGGCTTTGAGCTCACTTTGTAGCTCAGGCTGGTCTCAAACTCACAACGATCCTCCCACCTCAGCCTCCCAAGTGCTGGGTTTACAAGAGTGAGCCTCCACACCCAGCGAGAAGCTCATTTTTAAATCCAGTTTTGACCAAACCCATAATTAGTTATCAGTTTTCCTTTTTAATCCCTGAGCAATTTTTCTTTTTCCTAACTAAGGAAAAGTATTAGTTTTGCAGAATCTTTTGCAGGTACTAGAATCATGTAGAGTCTTAGTATATATTTATTGACTAATTGACATCCATACCAATAAAATCTGCTGACATAGTAATAGAATGAGTAACAATTCAAAGCCAGGTCATCTTTAACTTTCAACCACAGAAATGAAAAATAATTAGGATGGGTTAATATAAACTCAGAGTGGTAAGTTGAGAACTTACTAGTAAGCAGAAGTTTTGATCTATGCTCTAGAAACCAGCCCTCTGTCATCTGTATCCTCTAGACTGTCAGTCAAGATTGACTGTGGCTTGGGTCTGTGGTGCACTTTTTCTGGTACTTACATGTGAGTCATCTTACTCAAGTTGTAGAAAGAATGTGATTCCAGCCGCTGCAGAGTTGTGTCTATAGACAAGTAGCTAAACATCACAAAAATACAAGACAAAGTAGAAAGTTACTAAGGTTGTAAACTCCAAATGTTATTTTTGATGTAACTTCTTTGTCAGAGGCTGCCCAAACCACGCAACATACACAGGCTGCATGTATTCTTCATTTTTAATAGATCTCATGATACCTGAACTTTCCCAATATTTTGTATCTTATTCACCTTAAGATATCTGCAGTCATTTTAACTAGAAGTTTTCTTCCAACATCCTGCAAAGTTTAAAATTCCCATGGTATATCGTCATAGTATCACAAGTTCTTTTAGTAATGACCACAGTGTTCCCTTCCTAGTAGTTTGGATATTTGATATATGTTATCTCATTAGATTAAGTTCTGTGAAATGGAGGATTGCTTTTCATCAGTGAATCTTAAGTGCTTTTCACAGTTCTTGATATGTAGTAGACGCTTAATAAATGTGTTAAGAGAATGAATGACTGCACAGATGTATTACTCAAGAGCGCAAGAATAAAAGCATTAGAAGATGATTAAAGAGAGCACTGAATTACATAGGATTAGAAATAAAGTTTCAAAAAAGATGAAGAAAGAAATCACAGTTCTCTAGAAAAGCCTATAGAGTCATGACCACATATTCATCCATGACCTCTCCTCTCAATTTTGAATAAGGTAGAAAATTTAAGATTCATCTTGGATTTTATAAGCCAATGATAATGCAAATCAAGGTTTTTAAGTACTAAAAGAAGAGTAAGGAGAAACACCTACACAGAGCTTGTCAGGAATAAATAAGGATAAAATGCTTTAAACAGTTCACTGAAATTCCATCTTGTAATGAGAATGACTAATACAGACAAATTCAATGTCCATTTTTATACTAAGAGCCATTTCTATGACCTTTGAGGAGGTAAATGAGTACCAGATGATGTTCGGCCCCAGTCATAGCAGAGATTATCAACTCTGGGCATGCAACTGAATTACCTCAGGGGCTTTTAAAATGCACGGAAGTTCAAAATGTGGCCCAAGATAATTAAATCAGATCAAGTACTTTTTAAAAGCTTTACTTTTTAAAAGCTTCCTACATGACTGTAATGTGCAAGAAAGGTTGAGAACTACTTTGAGTTGAATCTATTAGTAAAATATTTTCAACAACGCAATGTTTATAAGAGGAACACTAATTGTTCCATTCTGAAGTTTTAAAAATCATAGTTGTGTTTTTTGGTTTTATTTTTTTGGTACCAGGGATTAAACTCATGACCTCGTGCTTGCCAGGCAGGTGCTTATACCACTGAGCTAAATCCCCAGCCCCTAAAAATTGTTTGTTGTGAATCTTATCGTGGTCCTGTACTTTTCATTCAAATTACCTATAAGCAATTATCTTTTGATTTTTCAGATCTCCTAACTCTGTACTCTGGGTATAGCAACATTACATAAATTGTTTAGTTCTAAATATTTTATCTGTACCATAGAGGGAGCAATGGAACCCATTTAAAGCAGTTAATTTCTTGTATAAGGACTTCAGAGGTTTGAGCATGGGTGCCAGGGAGTCACCCAGGAGGCAGGAATCACTGTAAGGCCTCCCAAGGTTTGAACCACAGCCATTTCTTTCTTAGTTAAGAAATGTAAGCCTTTTTCAACAAGTTAGCCATTCAGTCCATATCATGGGGCCAAAATTTTTGTTTCTCCAAATTAAGGGCCCCTTTTGCAGGGTTGTTAAAGCACAGTGGTGGAGCTACGCAGCGACCATGTATTCAGTGGGGTAGACTAGAGACACCTGCTTGCTTTGTACCTTTTTGTTTTTGTCGTTTTCCTTTTTATCGGTACCAGGGATCGAACTCACGACTGCCTGCTTTCAAGGCAGGCGCTTATGCCGCTGAGCTAAATCCCCAGCCCTGCTTTGTGCCATTTTTATAACTGGAAAATAATCAGATCCTACTTTCAAATCTCTTCTTATTATGTAAATCTTATGTAATTCCTACAATGATTCTGTCATTTATTGTCCAAAATAGGATATTTTATGCTATTAATATTTATGCCAGAATTAACAGTTGGAAATTTGTGCTGCATCATCCGACCTAGGATCATCCTGGTGATTTCTCCTTCTCCCTCGAGACATGCCATAACTTTATTAATTATGTACATGTATTTGTTTTAATTCAATAAATACCTACTGGTCATTTACTTTATGTCAGATGTCTGGCTGGAAATTGGTAAAACAAACTTTTCCCTAGCTTCAAGGAATTAATGGGGGCTATAGACAAGTAAGTAGAATTTATATAGCTAGTGCTAAGCGTTCTTAAGGGGGATAGAAAAGACATCCAGGGAATCCAACACTGTCTCCCTAAAAGCTTCAATGTGGTCTTCAAATCCTCTTGAGTGTCCTGTATATCTCAATCAGCCTTTTCCTACTGGTCACGCTTTTGTTTTTAAAACTTATCCTCAAATTTCAAACTGCCATCTTCTAGCTTGAGTCTTATTAGAAAATCTTTTAATAATTTGTATAAAAGATTAAAATCTTGCAATATGAATGTCTTGAATTCACCACCAATAGCAGATTAATTTGATTGCATATGCCCTGTCTTTTACTGTAACTTTCTTATTATGGTGTAAAAAGTGACCATCTTCCTACAGAAAGTCAATCCTTTTGTTTGGAGTCCATCCACTCTCAGCTACTCAAGGACCATATGCTGTTAAAATTGTTCTTAGATTCTCTCTCTGTCTGCTGGCACCTTTCCCTGGTTCCAGTTCCATCCACCAGTTTATTTCTCACAATTCTCTACCTTTTCTCAGGTATCTCCTCTGAGCACGCCACATGCTCAGAATTTTCAATGTTCCTTATCCTTTTTTCCCCTCTTTTTCCAATATACAGTATTCATTCCTAGATCAGCACATAATTTACTTGTTTGTTATATTTTTGACTCATGGTCTATTTCCTCCCATTTGAATACAACCTCTGTGGGAACACTGATCTTTATTCATTTGTTCTCTGATGGGTCCTTAGCTCTTTGTAGAATGATAGACACACGGTAAAGGATATATATTTATTGAATGAATAAACATTATGTCTAAATCACAATACCCACTGAATATCTTTGTACCTCAAAGGACGTATACTCAGAACTGAATTCTTAACTTACCCCAGGCCTTCTACTCAAAAACATGAAAGCTTCCCTTGTATCTCACTGAATGCATCATCAAAGACACAGATATTATAATCAGAAATTTGGATGTAATTATTCTCCATCTCCTTCTAAATCCAAATCAATTTAAGTCTGTAAATTCTCCCTTGGTTGATTATCCAATCTCTGTATGTTCTCTTTATCCCACTCCATCGCCATTACTCAAGTTGATGTCTCCTTTGGGTGCCACATCGGCCTATGCCCTGGCTTCCTGTCTGTGGCCCTGCCTCTGCTCTGTAAGCCTCTCTCCACAGCAGGGCCCAGGGTGCGTTTCTGAAATGAAAACATGGTCATTTAGTAGCTTGGTCCTTCGAGGAGATTTCAGATTCCTTCTTCACGATTCATGACTACTCTTATCCACTTCCAAGTTGTTTGTTTGTTTTTGTGGTACGGGGATTGCAAATAGGGCTTGTGTATGCTAGGCTAGTGCTCTAACACTGAGCTACATCCCTAGACTTTTGGTTTTGAAGTAAGATCTGGATGCATTGTCCAGATTGACCTTCACAGCTAGGATTAAAGGTCCGTGCTACCACACATGAGTTCCTTTTTAAAAATTCCTTCCTTCCTTCTTCTCTCCCTCCCTCCTTTCTGCCTCCTTCTCAGCCTGAGTTTCAGTCTCCGTAACTGACCCATCATGGCACTCATGGCTCCCGTAGGAGTGAACGGGGGTCTGTATCCTCTGTTGTTATATTTGGAGCATCTTACACAGTGGTAGGCACCAAGTAGGGCTCAATAAATATTTGTTTCTTTTTCTTCCAAGAAATACTTGTTGGATGAAGGCATAGCTAAGCCATTGGGACATCCACACAGAGACAAATAGTTGTTTAAGAGAGGTGAGAGAGGGGCTGTAGATTTAGCTCAGCAGCATAAGTGCCTGCCTTGCAAGCCTGTGGTTGTGAGTTCAATCCCTGGTACTGGTAAAAATACAAAAAAAAAAAAAAAAAAAAAAAAAAAAAAAAGAGAGAGAGAGAGAGAGAGGTGAGAGAAAAGAAAGAGCTAGAAGGAATTTGAAGTTTTGTAGGGTCTGAGATGCTGAATGGTAGGGCTATTAAAAGGAGGGTAGAGAACGAATAGTTCAGGCCAAGATGATGAGTTTATTTGGGATAAACTGAATTGTAAGTGCTTGCAGGACATTAAGCGTTGGTATTTGGTAGTTTTCATTGAAGGCTTGAATTGCAAGAGGGAATCAGGCCTAGAGATATTTGCTTAGCATCACTGTATTAGGTGACAGTGAGGACAAAGGAATGGAGGTGTTGACACAAGGAAAGCAGAGCATAGAGGAAACGGAACAAAATATACAGAGAAAGAACTGATGTTTAAGGAACTGGAAAAAATAAAAAAATGAGAAGTCAAGGCAGGAGGCTGAGGAGGAGACGCGGTGATACGATAAGGGTGATGAGAGAGAAATGACAAAGAAACCAAAAAAAAAAGCAAGAATTTGAAGAAAGCACTGAATAACAACATCAAAGATGCAGAGAATTTCAATGAGAGTGGTCTTTCAGCACTGCTGGCATTCTGTGCTGTGGTTCTCTACTGAAGGGCTGTCCTGTACCAGCAAGATGCTTGGCTGCATCCTCCTCTTCGACCCACTGGATTCCAGTTCCCTCTCCAGTTTGACAGCCAAGAGTGTCAAATGTCATAACTGTCTCAGAGTGAGAACTGCTTAAGTGGCAAAATAAACAGAAAGTGGTTGTGAAATGAATAAACTTAGCCACGGACTATACAGGTTGCTCCAGGTCGTATTATTTGGAATGTGTGAGTTACCTGGATTGCATGTTGGAATTAATGAAATGAAATAAAGACCTGTTTCATTTCATAGACATACCACTTGTCAGCCTACCAGGGAAACTCTTTTTCTCCTAATTCTTGGTTTACAGCAATTCTGTGTTCAAGGTTTAAAATTAGTTTTACTTCTTTTATATTCTTTTTTTAAAGTATAAAAGTCTGAAACCATTGGCTACATGCTTGACCAATGGTGAGCATTTATGTTAATGTTGAGAAGTGAGTCAACCAGCACGGGAGGTTGGAGTGACATACATATCTGTTTACGGGAGAAAGTCCCAGCAGAAGGTCTGCCATATTACAAGATATATTAAAATAAACCAAAAATAATGAATTTCTCAGGACCAAATTGATTTAAATTTGTTTTAGGTTTTTAAAAAATCATGAATTATTAAGCAGATGAAGCAAAATTAGACAAATAGATATATAAAATTTTCAAATACATTTAAATATAAATGTCACTGACATCTACAAGAAGCATAAGAAGGGGCTGGGGATTTAGCTCAGCGGCATAAGTGCCTGCCTTGCAAGCAGGCAGTCGTGAGTTCGATCCCTGGTACCGATAAAAACGAAAAAGCCAAAAAAAAAAAAAAAAAAAGAAGCATAAGAAATATTTTGTTGACAGAACACATTTTAGAAAGCAGCACGTCACAACCGCAAACTTCTCTTTATATTAAAAAATGACTTACATCCTGGAAATATTGGGCAGATTTGCAAATGCACGACTGGGGATGGTTTTCAGATGTGTCTCTACGAGCTTCCTAGGAAAATAACAGTGAGAAAATTAGAGTTTTCATTGTTGATCGTTTCTAATAACTCACCTTATAAAAGATATATTAGTAGATGCACCACAGTTCTTTCATCATAACATAATCAACAAAAATAATACTCAGTGGAAAACTGTCATTCATCCTGTGATGGTGTGTATTTCTAGATGAGGGCTTGAACTGGAAGGTAAGAAAAGACAGGACAGGACTCCAGCCTGAGCTGAAGAAAGTGTAGTCTGATGAAAAGGATGAATCTGGTCTACCTACAAAAGCAGGAGGCCCGCTTTCAAGGACTAGCTGAGGTGGACCAGGGTCTGGTTGATCATTTTCTTAGTCCTGATTTCCTAGCTCTGGATGAATCCTCCTGATTTGGGGATCAGTTTGGTCCCTGTAAAATGATTGTCTTTGGGGTAGCTTTGGTCACACAAGGCTCTGCTTTTCATGAAACTCAGGTGATTATGGGTGCAGGACAATGGCTGGAGATTTCAAACCATTGTTCCAGGGGGAGGTTCTAAAACTGGACATTCATTGAATGTCCCTGTGAATCTAAGAAATCTCTTTAGTTACTTTTACCTTGGTGTCCTCCATCTTGAAGATGGACGAAACAGACTAGGTAAATTAAAGGCTAGTAAACTTTGTCCTGACATATTTTAGATAGATACTCCCTATGTGACTATTATGTCTATATGCACAGCTAAAAAGAATTTGACCTGAAGTTTCACAAAATGAAAAGTTTTGTTTTGCTTTTAGTTACTTTTTGGGCATTTGTCAGTCTGAGTGAAGAGTCATAATCTTTAGCAAAGGCCACTTTTAAGTCCCTCAGAATAAAACACAAATCATGCTTTTAATGAGTAACAGGTTAACAGGTTAAGAGCCCAGGAGTGTTTGCCCTTTGCTTCTCTGTTGTCTCTGATCACATCAAAACATACAACTCTCCCTGCTGCCTGCAACTTAAGTATTGCGAGTATGATTCAGATGCAGAAAATAAATCTTCATCTATGGACCAACAGGAAATTGCTCCGCCTAACATCACATTCCATTTGTTATTGGAAGTGTACATAATACATTCCTCAGTAGGTAAGGACTTAAGAATGCATATTACACACTTTTCACTAAAAATCACTTGGAATGCTATCACGAATATGTGTTAAGTACAGATTAAGAGGAATGAAACCCGTTTATCTTAAATCTTAGTAAAATGGTAGTATTTTAGTGTTACAATATTTTACCAAGCAAAAGTCTCTTCAACCATGATATTACCATCTATTTGCTGCAGTTTAGAAATAAATGACTGTTAAAGGACTAATTCTTCCACAGATGCTTATTTGTTGGCTATGTAACTTAAAGGAGTGGCTTTTCCTCCAGGCCACTTTTTTAGAAACTGTTTTCCTTACCAGGCAAGGAAGTCCCTTTGTGTGCTCCTCTGTCTCTTCACTGAGCATTTCTTTTCCGAGTTGCCTTCTTTACATGGTGACTATCTGAATAGAATCCTTAGGAGGAAATATGATCTACTGTATTTAGTCACTTTGCAAAAAGACAGTGCCTTGGTATTGCTAATTATCTTTTCCTCTCATCTGCTTTTGTCAGTTAAATATTGATACTCAGACATCACCCACTTAGTACAAATCTTGTTTATAGATAGCATACTAACATTGTGTACTTTCCCATCTAGGCTACTAGGCTATTCCTGAATGATCTGTTTCCTTGATCTATGCTTTCTATGGACTATTCATTTTCGTAGTACTTAAAATACATCTGTAATTTGCCTAATCAAAACATTGGCAGGCCAAATTATTTTATAAAATGATGTATTTATATATATGGTGGGAATAACACAAAGGCATATTATCAACTCTTTGCAACCCTCTGTGTTTTACCACGAAGCCCGACGTTGTTCAACCATAAATTTCAGACATTCAAGTCTCATAAACTACCTGTCTTCTCTAGAAGGTCTTTCACTCATATCCTCTTAAGTGAGTTGATAGAGCAAAATAAAAAATGGATAATAGGAAATAAGGACATAGATATCTCTCAGGTAGGAAGAAGATTAAAAGATGGAGGGAGGGGAAAGGAAGGGAAGGAAAGGGAAGAGGATGAAAAAAGGATTTAAAGTGAGTTATGCATATGAACCAACTCCATATTGGGAATGTGAACATTATGTCCTGCAAACATGTACTAATAAAAATGAAAAAAAATTGTATGAATCCAGATCTAGGATTCTGAAGTTAAAAAAATATGAGAAGACCAAGTCAGAGCACTAAAATCTTAGCATAAAATTGGACCACACCAAAGGAAAACAAATGATAAGATACAAACCTGTTGGGTATCATCTGAAAGGATTGAGTTTCTTAAACACAAAGATAGCTTTACAGAGCTTGTCCTCAGGCAAAAATCCTGAGAGCACACGTACTGTAACACTGCATGCACTGCTTGTGGGAGTGAGGGCCTAACATGTCACTTATACTGACTAAAAGTTTTGGGATTTATCTTGTTTTCAATAGTAAACAACATAGAATTAAAGAGAAAACTAGAAAAAAGTTACAGTGGTTACTAGGTAAGAAGACAGATATGGAACAGAACTAGTATATAAACACAGTTTGAGTTAAAGGTTCAAATAATGAGTATATTTTTCCCCAGTGTATGAGTTTTTGAAACCTATAATACCTATTTCTTGAGGTTTTTTTCTACACACACACACACACACACACACACAATGATATAAACTAGTAAGGATTATATATTTAAGAATACCTATCTTAATAATACTACAATATGCACAATAAAACTTCAACAGAAGTGAAGAATGGAATGTTCTCCAAATGATATTAGTACAAACCTTTCTTTTCAATGAAGTAAGAGAAACTAGGTAAAACTATCTTGTAGTTTTTCCTTTTCTTTTCCTTTCTTTCCCACATCCTAGTTTCTTTTTCCTTTTGAATGATTTTTTCCTATTTCACAATATCTATGGCACATTTTGGATCTTATTTACTCTTTCAGTTTTTAATACTAATGAGATAATATGCTGTTTACATATATGAGTCTGATTTATTTCATTTATGAGTATGGTCTCAAATTGCAACCATTTACCTATAAAAGTTTATTCTTCTTTATGACTGAGTAGTACTCCACTGTACAAAAGGACCAAATCTTTTTTGTCCATTTCTCAGGTGATGGACATTTGGGTTGTTTCCAAGATTTAACTATTACAAATTGTTCTGTTACAAACATGGGTGCTTATACATTGCTGTGGTATGATGTTTTTAATTCTTTAGGAAGACACCCAGAAGGGGACTAGCTGGATATAATGGGACCTCTAATCCTAGTTTCTTGAGGAATCTCCACACTGATTTCCACAATGGTTGCATCAGTCTACACTCCCATCAAGAGTGAAGAAGGGTTCCTTTTTCCCCATGGCCCTGCAGGCATTTGTTAATAGTTTATTTCTTGAGAATAGCCATGCTTTCTGGAGTGAGATGGAATCCCAGTGTTGTTTTAATTTGCATCTCTTGAGTGACCAATGATACCGAACGTTTTTTCATGTATTTATTTGTTATTTGTATTTCTGTATCTGAGAAGTGCATATTCATCTCAGATGCTCATTTTTGGACTGGGTCTTGGAACTGGAGTGTCTGATTTTCTTCAACTCTTTATATGTTATAAATAAAAGTCCTTTGTTTGAGGGACAACTTACTAAAATGTTTTCCCACTTTTTAGTTTGTTTTATCCCCAGCAAGGTTTATAGTTGTTTTTCTGTACAGAAATTTTATATCTAGGAATAATCAATAGACTATGTGTCATCAGTTTGTTCCTCCTTCCAGGGCAAGTGGCTGGATGTTTTATTATCAACACTTTCAGTAGATAAGCTTCTATTAAAAGAATCACAACATTGTGATTACTTCTTTTAAAAGAGATGGGAGAGAAAAAAAATCAGTGTCGTTATTTGGACAAAGTATTTTATTTTAATTTCAGATTACATTTTGAATGTCTATAGAAAAGTACGTATGTATTCATTTGAAAAAAATGAGAACAGCTTCTAGCTATTTCTCTATTGTTCAAAGAATTAACATCAAAGTAGTATTTGTTTTACATGAAGTGCCAGGTACTGAAGATTTTTTTTCTTTGTCTTTGATTCAAAGTAAGAAAATATTGATTGTTGCTCTCTATAGTAGAGTTTAAAACTCAGAGAAGTCACTTCACACTACTAGGATGAACATTCACTTTGAATGATTAGGATATTACATATGATTGGCAAAAAAATCCATATCATAGTTGTATACCCTAGGATCACTATGTACTTTTTATAGTTCATTAAGTTGGCTTTAAGGTACAAAAATTACAAGTCAGAATAAAAAGAAAATGATAAACTTAAATTCATTTTTCTGTAATTAATGAAGAGTGGCCTTTGAAGAAATGACTGATGTTTCAGGGGAGCTGCATGTGAAAATGATGTTGTAAGACCTTTTTGAAATGGGGTTGGGAGGCCATCAATGGAGAAGGATTTATGCACCATTTGAGCTGTCACCTGGAGTGTGGACTCTGGTTCTACTTGTTGGTCATGGGCATCTGGAATGACTGGACCTATAATCACGTTGTTCCCCTGAGATCAAGATGCACAGTAAGGGGTTATCCTGTTTTATGGACATTTCCGTTCTGGTTCTAAATCCCTTTCAATCTTCTGTTGGCCATATCCCTCATTCAGTGATCCACTTTCTTCTTCTGGCACCTTCCTTTCATGCTTTTTCATCGTTCCCTTTCCCCTCCCTCCTTTCCTTCCTCCTTCTGTCCTTTTTCTTCTCTCCCTCTTTCCTTCCTTTCTTCCTTCCTTCTTTCCTTTCCCAAACACTGGTTCAGTGGTCCCTGAAATATGTCTCTAATTGTAATTTTTAAGACCCCAGATGATGTCCTTTTTACTTTGTAGTTTCTGAATTTGGATTGACCAATACTGAGATAAGACATTTCTCAAATGTCTGATTTTGGAAGATGTAGTGATGTAG